CACCCACACCCTCACCCACACCCTCACCCACACCCTCACCCACACCCACACCCACACCCCACACCCCACACCCACACCACACCCACACCCTTGCTGATCTTACTGGTGATATTATTGCTAAAGTCATTCATAATTCTTATCAAATATCTTATAAAGAACGAATGACTTTAGAATATAAATGGCGATTATGTAAAATTCCTCTTACACATACATTCATTCAACTCAAATCTGATAAATCTACAGCATTTGAAAGAAATGAATCACGACAATTGTTTATAGAACATGAAGCATTATGGCAACAACTATTATCTACTCCTTACATGGTATCGATGATTGAAAAAGATCATCATTCGAAAGAAGATAATCTTACTATGGAAAATATTATTAGATCGAAACGTTGGATTGTTATTTTAGGTGATCCACGAAGTGGAAAAACATGTTTTGTTCGATGGTTTGTTCATCATCTAGCACAAATATTGCTTTTCAATAGATCAGATTCTACTCAATATGGTCCTCTTCGTATACCAATCTTGATTCATATTGGTGAATTTGCTGAAATATTAAAAGAACAACCATTACTCACTCTATTTGATTATATTGGAAAACATAAATGGATGGGCAAATCAATTGTTGATGATTCCATTGTCTCATCTGATAATATATCATGTGCTCTTCAAGATTACATTAGACAAGGACAAGCTATAATCATACTTGATGGTCTTGATGAAATTTCTGTGTCTAATCAACGTTTAAAAATCATTAATATTATTGAAAATTTCGTTCAGACTTATATTCAAATACCTACAGATGTTGTTTCTGTCTTTGACAATGTATATATGAACAAACTATTTGATGATCCATCTCGATTAGGAGGTAATCAATTGATTGTTACAAGTCGTATAGTTGGTTATTATGCTACTCCATTAGCGGGACAATTTGCTCATTATACAATTCAACCAATGAATATGGAAATTATTAAAGATTTTATTGATTATTGGTTTTTTCGTATACATCAATGTGTAATTCAGATTTTAGGTCTTCCATTAATTAATCAAGCTCAGAATCATAGTGAAGTACTGAAAAAAGAATTGGAAAAGCCTGAAAATATTGGTCTTGTTGATATGGCTTCGAATCCTGGTTTACTATCATCTATTTGTACTATATATTTTAGTCAATTAAATAATTCATCTGTATCTATTCAACGTATTCTTCTATATGAATTAATTATGAAATCAATGATAAATTTATGGCATAGTAAAATATCGCATGTTGATACATTAAAAATAAATCAAATTCTTTCTGAAATTGCTTTTCGTATTCATCAAAATTCAACATCAAATTTTATTGACGATGAAGAAATAAACGAAATCTGTGTTCAAACAATTCAAGCATCCATACATAAAACATTACTAACAACAGAAGATATGAATGATATCGAAAAACAAGCATCTGATATGGCAAAAATCATTCGTAATGATATTGGTATTTTAACTTTACAAGGCAAATCACTTTATAGTTTTCTTAATTTATCATTTCAACAATACTTCACTTCCTTGAAGTTCATCGAGATAGATACTTTAAGACAAAGAAGATTTCATACTGATGGATTAGATCGAGATAGTAAAATTCAATTTATTGCTCAATCATTGTATCGTCATACAAATGATGTACGATTTCATGTACCAATTACAATTGCTCTCGGGAAAATCAGTTCTTCTTGGCCTCAAAATGATTTTAACGATCTCTGCTATGAATATATGCAAATACAAGACAAAGATGATTCTCTATTACTACTTGGAGCTTATATATTGATTAATAGTGTCAATAATTTTGTTAATTATCCTTCAAATGATATTTTATTCAATGCTTTAGATCGTTTAATAATTGCAGCTGGTCAACACCAATGGTCGATTGTTTGTCCGTTTCTATTCCATCAAATTACAAATGTATTGAGAAAATTTCCACATGAAATTGTTTCATTATGGATTAATAAATTATTATCTCAATCTTCTCAACATAATATTCAAACAATAACAGCTCTTTGTCATCTTCTCGAAGGAAAACCTCATGAATTTGAAAATATTAAATGGCTCGATCAATCATCTTGTTCAATACTTCAATCTTTATCAATACTTGATAATGAAAATAATGAATATGTTATCGATCGATTATTAATTAAAATTACTTTCTCAAATCATCAATTATTATCTTCTAATCTAACTACTTTCAAAGGATTCTTACTTGATAGAAAGATTGAAATGACATCAATTCCTATGATTCTCTTTCCTTTAATCATTACTTTATATGGTGGTTTAAAACGAGATGGTCAAACTGTTATATTCGATCCGTCATATATACATCGAGAATCAACTGTATTAACACCAATTTTAATACGTTTCTTCTGTGAACAAGATCAAAATTTAAAAAAATTAAAACAAGAATGTATAAAATCTTTTGTAATACGAATAGAAAATCATGATGAAACTTCAGAAACAATTGATTTATGCATTGCAACTACTTGCTTTTATAATATTGAATATATACAAGAAAATTTGAAATCTATTTCTAATTCTTTATTACGTATGAGTATGAATAGATTAAAATATATTTCAATGATTTTACGTCAATTCTATTTTTCTACTAATGAAAATGATCAATTGATGGAAAATGAAATAACAAAATTTATTTCAACTACTATTGAAAATTTTCAGTATGTTGAATCAGCAAGAATTCATTTTTTGAATTTATTAGATTCATTAAGAAGTAGTATAGCTCGTTTACGATCTTCTTCAACATCAATTTTATTAGAAGGAGAATCAAATTCTGATAGACGAATAACATTAGTCTTACCGAATTCACTTCGAAAAGAAGATAAATTCCTCAATGGTCTTCTATCAACAGATGTACAATTTTATTCCGATCAAAAATCTTGTTCGATATTACATCATTTCACCAAACTTTTCTGGCCATTAGAACATGATGATAAGTTCAATACACAATATAGAATGGCAGTTGCATTGGATACAATACCAGAATATTTACATTTTCGCAACGATGAAGATCTTATATTTCCATTAACATTTATTCCATTACATCTACGAAATCTTTATGTTCGATTATTGAAAGGAAAATTTGTTATGATTAATCCAAAAGATTCTATGATCAATAATAGACAACATCTTTATTTTGGTCAGATTTTAGTTGAATGTTTGATGTTTTTATCAAATGCATCGTGTAAGAGATTGTCTATTATGAGTGCCTTAATTACTATGTTACCTTGGCTTCGAATGCAACAATTAGAAAACTTTGGTAGTAGTCTTCTATGGATGCTATCTATTAAAGATTCTGACGCTTTGGGTACATATGAAATAAAAAAACAACGTTCAATGAATTATGAAACTGGTCAGTATACAGATATAGATGAGAATCCTTTTTATGGAACTGATCTAATAGATGAACAACGAAAAAGTGTCATACAAAATAATATTGAACAAGAATATGATAGACTTCAAAATGCTTTAATTGAAAATGATCAACACAATATAAAACTTTATTCTGCATCAATCTCTTTGGCACATGTTTGTCATTGGAGTGATGAAGAAAGAAAATTATCTTTATTAGAACAATCTATACATGGAGCTATGTCAATTCAGAATAAAATTGTTCGTCTTGATGCCTTATGTGTAATTGCTTTATATTCTTATTCGGATTATAATCGAATTAAATTAGAGAGAGATAGATCTTTACAAAAAGAAATTGAACACCAATTTAATGAAATTTATTCAAATCTACCACTTCTATTAGAAACAATTATTTTTATTCGATGTTTACCTTTACTTCAATCTTCACAAACAATTGATAATTGTCTAAAAAATCTCTTTGATAAATTTGCTACTACAGATCTACGAGATCAACAAGTAGTTATTGAAGCATTATTACCATACATGCAATTAAATCATACTTTTTCATCTATTACAAATTGTTTTTCATTTAATTTACAAGATCAAAATAAAACAATATATAATAAATCTTCTTTATTGAAGAAATATTTTAATATTGATTCATATGAAAATTTATCGTTGTCATTATTTATTTCTAATTTATATTTAATGGAATTAGTAAATGATTTTCATGAAAGTATGAAAATAGACAATCGTCAATTTACTATTGAAGAATTAATAACAACTAAATTATTTCAATTTGATAATTTTATTTTAACAGAAGCACAGACAATAACAATAACTAATATCATTCTTTCATTTGTTTCGATAAGAGATCAATCTGAACAATTCGATAAACTTTGGATTATTTTAAACAATGCTCTTCATCATATGAAATGGGTAGAATTTAAAGCATATCGTTTGTTAGAATCCTGGTTGAAATTTAAAGATTCAAATGAACTATCTTTATTTGCTTATCATGCTGCACTTCTTCTAATTAATTCAGATTTATGGTCTGTCGAAGCTACAATAATTCTATGTGATCTTTTATGTAGTGATGATGATCGTTTTCGTCATAGAGCTGAAATTATATGTCGATCATCAAATGATAACAATGTTCGAACTAGTTCGAAGTTGGGCATTGATGTTTTATTAATTTTACTAAGAAAAAAGGTTCACTATCAAGTAACTTCAGCATCTGCTCAACTTACATTAAATCGAATGCTTAGAAATATAACTATAGATATTCAATCTCATCTAGAAACGTTACTCTGGTTAGAAAGATATAGAATTCATGCATTGATCAATCAAGAATATTCTTTCAATACATCAAGACCAAGAAGAAATGCGTATATAACTTCATTTTTTTCAACCGACATCGCGATAGATGGATGCTCCTTTATTAATGTGTCTCAACTGTCTAATGACCTAATAATATATATGTGTGATATGGTTGCATCAAATTTATTTTCATATTGGGAAATCGACGGAGATACAACGTCAAATGGAGTTTGTGAAAGTCATACACAATTTGTTGTTTCAGTAGTTTTAATTTTACAGGAGTTATTGACTAATATCGATGTAGCACAGCAAGCAGCAGTTGATGCTCTTATGAATTTATTCGAAATATCCAACAACAATGGAATTCGTCAAGCAGTGGCATGTACTCTTAGTTACGTATGTAACGTGGAGACATATAGAACCTTATTTGAAAAAATTATATTAGTAATGAGTAACTTATGTCAAGAGACTACTACCTATTCTAATGATGTTTTAAGTACACTAATTTCAAGTTATTCCTTTTGTGTATCTATAAACAAAATTGCATTTGATCAAGATGATATGGATCTTTTTTGTACTTTGTTAAAACATGACTCACAGACTATTAGAAAAGCAGCTTGTACAGGACTTGCTCGTGCTCTGCAAGACACATCGTTTCTACTTGAAATGTTTAGTTATGATTACATTCAATGTTATCATGGATTGATTGGATCAACTGCATACTCATATCTTTACGATGTACAACAAAACAGTGAAAATGCTACTGCAAAGTTTATTGAAGAACATCCTACTCTATTGTCAATCTTTACCGTTGAATTATACGACAGAATTCGGCACTTTACCACCAGAGTATTACCGATAGTAGATATAGATTATTATTTAGCTTTCGGCTATCCTCAATATGTAAATATTGCCAGTTTAATCGCTGAAAAAATGCCGACAATGTTTTGTGCTTTCATTAAAGATTGGCCCAATGGAGATAATTTGAAACGTGCATTGTTTTATACTAGTAAACAACATTACTTTCCACGATGTGCTGCTTGTTTAATAATTCTATCCATATTCGGTGAGTTAACAGTCGATTTATGTGAAATGTTCATCGAAGCTGTACATGATGATCCGTATATTCAAAACACTTGTTATAAATGTATTTCACATATTCATTCAGTTAAGGATGAAAATAATGTTTTGAATCTTTTGTTTTCTTATTTAAAATCAAAATCAATGAATGTTCGACATATTACAGCTAAAATACTTCTTCATCTTTCTCAATTATGTCTTGTCCCATCTAAACAAGTTCAAACAGCATTAAAGAATCTTATATTAGATCCAAATTCAAATGAAGATCTATGGTTAATTGAAGAACAAGATGCTCTATTGGCCAAGAGTGAATATTTTTATGCTGGTTCACTGAAAGATGTAATTTATTCACTTTTGATTCAAAATGAAACTGGAGATAAAAATAACATTATTCGAAGAAATGAATACAATGATATTGATTTGCATTTTATGCAATCTGAAAAAGTATCCCGTCTCGCTTCATGTCTCTATGAAAGAAGACCTGAAGAAAACGACGAATAAAGAAAAGAAAAGAAAAGAAATTATTTACTTCCTTAAAATGATACTTATACGCAAGACATTTTGTTTCCATGAGGGTGTAGGGTGTGGATGTGAGTGTACGTGTACGTGTGGGTGTGGGTGTAGGTAGCTGTGTGCATCAGTGTTCTCTTCAACGACAGTCGCACCACCGCATCCACACCCACACCCACAGAAGTATGCTTTTTTACCCCTTGTCTATGCATCATGTACGTACTCTTATGCATCTTCGAATACTGGTTACCAAATAAAATGTTTTATTCAAGTATAAAAAAGTAGTCAGCAAACATGTTTGGCGATGATCTGTTTTGGTGTCTTTATTTGTTTTCACAATGTTTTCGTTGTCAGAGCTGACGTTCTCAGAAAGTTTATCTTTTTTTTAAAAAAGGAAACCATTTATGAAGCACGCCAACATATAGAAGATTTCCATCTTGTTTGTTGATTGGCATTGCTCCACTTACAGCAAAAAGGTCGATATAAACTATTTTAGTTGTCGTGTTTTCATCGGTTAACGAGTCCAATTCCGGTTTCGTTAGGAATCCTAAGCCTGTAATCAACGAGAAAACCAAAGCCATATACGGTGATGAATATATCAAAAGTGTTAATGTGCTAAAGAAAAAGAAAGCTGCACTTTGTCTGCATGCTTTTGTCATAAGATATTCAAATTTACGATCTTCTTCAGCGATTTTGTCAATAGTCGGATTAGCCACTTCACTTATCTGGAACAATAATGTCCCTACTTCTTCCTGTTTTTTATTGGCTTCGTTGGTCATCTTAGTCACTCTTTCTGCGCATTTTATAGTGTCGTAGAATAGATAAAAAAACGCTATACAATTGGGTGCAATCCATGTTCCAAATACAAGTATTGCATCGAGTAGGCTTGAAAACAAACATATGTTTAGCAGAAATATAAGGATAATAAAAATAATACCATTTTTGATTTTGTTCGTTGCCATGTGTCCTACAAAAATCGTTTAAACCGATGCATCAGATTCAAGTAATACAGCTACTTTATAAGAACAAGCAGCCGTGACCGGTTTTGTCTTTGCTTAAGGGACTCATCAGACGGCATGTTCAAATTCATCATTATCAATTAATGATAATAACAAAACTGTTTAACCCTTTGAGGACCGAATTTTTTTTTTGAATTCAGCTCCTCTGCATATACATCGAAATATTCATCAGAAAGTTGAAGTTCATCTAAGTTATCGACTAATTCATCGTAATCTAATCAACGTCACTCTCACTGCTGTCATTACTGGTATATGAATCACAGGACTCATTATCGACTTCATTATTTTCATAGAATTCTATTTGTTTTGTTTTAATTATAAAAAACAGTATAAAGAAATGAGGAGTACAAGTACAAAAAGGGAAATGATATACTTTGCTAATTCAAGAACAACGTAAATTCGTCAATAAGAACAAGGGTATATATATACCCAATAGAGAATGAAAATATCCTCGAAAAACGAAAGATCAAAGGAGAAGAGAAAAATTATAACATCACTGTACCTTAGCAGCAAGAACAAATGATATTTGAAAAGAATGTATATGAGAGAAGGAAAGAAAGAAAAGAAAAGTATGAGATGACAAATGCAGTTGTTTATGACCTTAATGACTTTACATATTTAGTAGTTTAATGTGGAATAAACACTTTTTTCTTTACTGAAAAATAGGTGGTCCAAAAATGGGCCACCGGTCCTCAAAGGGTTAATCTACCCTTATCAAGGTCACGAGAGACAGTGTTAAGTAGGGCTACTCAATATGAACAAGCAGCCATGATCGGTTTCGTCCTTGCTTAAGGGACTCATCAGACAGCTGCTTGTTCATATTGAGTAGCCATACTTAACACTGTGTCTTCTGTGTCCTTGATAGGGGTAGATTAAACAGCTTCGTTATTATCATTAATTGATAATGATGAATTTGAACATGCCGTCTGATGAGTCCCTTAAGCAAGGATGAAACCGGTCACGGCAGCTTGTTCTATCAAATAGCACAGAAAAATAGAGCATTGTTTTCTCTGTCACTACATAAAAAAGAAAATTTCTTCAAGCTTTCTATAAGGAAATTTGGTAATGGCGCCACTACTTTTGATATGTCCTAAGTATTTAGAAGACATGGTAGCACAAGAATCGTGTCTAATTTATCGGATAAATTAGAGGGTGTGAATGGTAGAGCCCATGGGGTCTAGAATTTTTGGACTTACACTTAAACCTTAATTGCACTCTTAATATTTTTGAGAGAGCTTTTTTTAACATTTGAATCTGCTAATGGCTTCGCAAATATGAAGTTCTTTTTTTTTTGCGCTTGTCTGTATCCATGAGTAGCAGACTGGACATATGTCGAAGGCAATAGTGGTGATAATATCAGAATAATCAAGCTATAATTGGATATTACTCCTAACTAGAGTGCGTTCGATTCAAGATTTTGGGATCTGGGGCCGAATCCGCGACGGTTCAAGTCTGGGTCTATCCGATGGGCTCTAGTGGATGGGAGTAAGTGTCACAGTGTGTGAGTGAGTAAATGGGTGTGAGTTGCATACGGCATACCCACAACCACTTACCCTCGCTCAAACTTACATCTACACCCTCGCTATAAACTATTGCTCTTACAGCAACAGAAATTTTACTTATACAAAAGTGTCTTCGAATGGACAGCATACAAAAGAAAAAAGCCCATTGCTTATAATTGCATGTAAAAGAAGATAAGAACTACTTATCGTTATCTACCATGCTGCATCAATCGACGTGGCAAGTTTTTTATTAAATAAGAAGGTTTAACATCACATAATGGTTGTAAATAACTGATAACAATATTGTATGCAACCAACAAGTAACAATATGCATACCATCTCTAGATTCACTTGCATATATTTTTGTTCATCGCTTAATTTTATATTGATTTGAAGAATATACTATTATTGTTTCTTTTAAGATTATATAATTTGAGGCACTTGAGATTTATAAAGACATCAATAAGACTTAACTTATTTCTAATCAATACAATGAACTGTCAGACTCTCAACGAAATTCTTTGCATATGGATTCAAAAAATAATAATTTGTTCATGGGATAAAAAACTCAAACAACTTCATAGACAGTTTATTTACAGAGAAAAATTTTCGTCTATCAAAATTCTGACCAAACATCCCTAGTGAATGTATTCATCCAAAGAGTACGACTTGGTAGCATGAGTACTCGGATTACTCGAGCGAGGTGTGGGTGTGCAACTAGACTTCATCCACACCCACACCCTCGAATTTCTTGACGGACGATAGTTAAATGAATTGGACATTAAGATCAAAAATATCCATAGTCTCTGAAAATGAAGTCAGAATCTTGAAAGAGTGCTTCAATCAAACATCTTTGTTTTTCTAGAAATATTTATGTTTAAAAATGTTCAATAGAATTTAAGTGTTTTTATCAACGAATTCGAAAGCTATCATAATGATCGAAAAACTCATCTTCTAAGTATAAGATTGGTTCTCTAGAATTTGTGCGCGTTATTGAATCATCATCACGTTTAACTCTTGAAGTACGAAGAGTTTTTTATTATTGACAAAATAAAGTATTTCAAGTTGATCATTCTCGGCCCCGAGTTCAGTTGGAATCTGTTGAAATTTTTTGTTTAAGGAAGATCTCAAAAGAGCATTTTGATAGAAAATCGATGACTCTCAAGTCACAATACTGCTAGAAGAATATGACAGTGCTATGACATGGTTTGGTACTCAGATGTACTATTTCTTAATGTGATGTAATATGCAGTTATGGACATTGTAATGGATTATAATGTTTGAATGAATTGCAAACTAATGACTATATTCATCTGAGAATAATCCAATAATTTGAAGGTTTACATAGTGATATCAAATCATATGGGAGGATTATTTGAATAACAGTACAGAAATCTTCGACCTTACTGTTGGCGTTATTTAAAATAAAAAGATATATAGTTTCAAACGCATTCGATTGTGATGATTAGCTTGAGAAGACTTCTATTCTCTCACTTGGAAAAACTCTAAATAGAATGTTTCTATGCAAGTTAAAATAATCAATGTCTTGAACTCTTAACATCTTCATTTTTATTAGCCTTCGATCGGATGACATCACTCGTCACAATCTATTCAGAACAATTCGTAATGACATCTAATTACACTTGATAGTGAAAATTAATAAATATTTTCAAGCAATGGGTCTGATGTTGAGCATCGAAGCGAAACTTCATTGTGGGTGTGGGTGTGAGTGGATGTGTTGCTTTGCGTATGAACATGATGCACACCCCACACCCACACCCACACATCACATCCCTTATTAAATTGGACATGTTTATGTAAAAAATGAGATTTGGTGATGAAACTGAAAAAGTTAAACTCATGGAATTCAATGAAGTCCTAGTCCAAAGTACAAACGCTCATGACAGACTACAGGATATCACTTTTTTTTGATCAAGATGCGAATATCTGTCAGTTGTCTATAATAAAAGGGTGTTTCCATGGGATTTCTACCACGTTTACATGAAGTATGTCCTATCAACGTGAAAATTTCAGCATTTGTAGAGCTCAGT